ATCCCCCACTTCCTTCAATGCAAGGAAATTGCTTGAGAATCCATGGCTGTCCAGATGTTCCATAGGGAGGAAAGATGACCTCCTCTGAGTACTGCAGGCAGTTCCCTTGCCAAAGAAAAACCACGCACAAATGGCATCCTGTTGGTATTTCTGTAGGGCTCCCTCTTCCAGTGGGTTTCAGAATGTATCTTACTCATCTAGATGAGTTACCATTTCCGTTTATTCCAGTTAAAAGGCCTAAGTTAAAATGGAAATTAATGTGTTTATTAACTTCCCTTTCATTTATGTTTGTTAGCTTTTCTCTTATGCACAGTGTATATTATAATGAATTAAAAAAAAATAATAGCTAATCACAGCCTGGCAGGGATTTTTAATGGATTTAATTTTTCTCTATCATGCTTACATGTAATCTGTACCATTCAGTGTTTTATGGGCTTGTTATCACTCTAGTAGTGTTTGCAGTGTGTGCCTGGAGTGCTTGCAGAATAACTGCAGGAATTACAAATTCCCCGAAGACCAACAGGTGCTGGTTGCCATTCTCAAGACAAGCAGCACATGTCCTGTGCCTGAATGGCTGGTTTAGCATGATTCACATCATAGAGGTTTTGTCTTTCCCACAACCACTTTGAGGGAAGGGAGCATTTAATGGAGTGCCTTACATCACATAATCGGTAGGTGGCCTGGAAACAGCGCTCAGGCTCAGCCCTTGAACTGCCCTTGTTGTGCTGAAGCTGACAGACTCTGCATGCTTTTTGTCAGAATGAAAGGTGGCTACCTTTCATCGTGTTGTGACATATTACATACAAAATTATGACATTATTACACGTGAAATAGTGGAACCTGAACACTGCCCTATGTGGGCATGAGTGATGTATGTGTCAGCTGTGGAAGAGATCAGGACAGACTGGAGTTCATCATTCTACCCACACAGGTCCTGCCACTGTCATGGAGCGGGGGGACAGTATTTAACTTCTTTTTATAAAGCAGGAATCCATTGTAATGCTCAAAAATAGTGAGGATAGTTGGTCCATGCAGTGCAGGAAGCACGGTTGCTATGGTAACCAGTTCTGTATCGTTTCTCATGTGTTTCTGAAATAAAAAACTATATATATGTGTGTTGGTGCATTATTTTTATTAGACTATTGTACCTTCGAAAAGCATTGCTCAGCTTTTTACCTCAGAATCAACAGTTTAATTTCAGGCTGGGTGGGTACCAAAATGATAATCATTATTATTCCAGATGTTTTTTTGGTGGCCTTTGTGAATTTACTGATGGTCCCAGCTCAACAGATAGTGACAGGTGTCTACACTATTATTGTCTACTACAATTATCACTAATTGGTACCTCTATTGGCAGTGGAGGTTGGCTAGGGATTTAATCGAGATGAGAGATGAACATGCTTTCTCTGTGTTCTACCTGTCTGTCCCCAAATAGAGAGGAAAATACACCTAAAATAAGTCCTCATGGTCAAAGTAAAGAGAGAAAGTTTCAATATTTATTACTTGGTTTGTTCCTGAGTGATGGCTTAATGGAAGTATTCAATCTCTGAGACTTCCAATTTGGCACTTTTCAGGTGAAATTTTCATTACTAGCCTAATTTTTTCCAGGTGCACTTCTGCAGCTGCTGTGTATTGTGCCATAATTTAGCACCTGCAGTTCTTTCTAACAACAAGAATTTCCAACCAGGAAAACAAAGGTTGGGTCCAGCCTTGATTTAAATAAATAAAATTTTAAAAAGCAACCCCATCATGAAAAGAGCAACAACAATGTGCTTTTAAGGAAGGTTTAATCAAGCAAAAGCATTAGCAATACAATACTCTTTGTTGATAAGCATTAACAAAAAGAGGAAGGAATCGCCGTGTGTTGCATTTTAAATGTTCATTTTCTTAATTGTTACTTCCCTTTGTAGAAGAATCTCCCCCATTTGTTAATTTGTTTCTTTTCTTCTTACACCTGATAGACAGCTCTAACCATGTTAAATTGTTTGCTTGCGATAGGGGAAAGAGGTTTTTTATTTATGCCTGTGAAGTTAGTTGAAAGTCTTAGAAACGTGAAATTTATAGCAGGTTCAAAACAGGTGAATTACACTCCAAGTAAGTGTTGGCAGCTCTTTATCTTTTCCTTGTTTTCCATATTTAATTCCACCCTTGAAAGGTGGAATATGCATCATTTCCCCATCGTCTCTCTCTGGTTCACATTGAGTGAAGTGTTTTGAATTAATTATGTTAAATTATTAATAGCTCAAGATTTGAAAACATTACAGGATTTGAGTAATGTTTTATCAGGCAGTAGCTGTATGATAATTCCGATGTTTTCATATGGTAGAGTACACTTCCAGCTGATAGGTAAAAATTATGACTATATGCTGAAAGCACTGAATTCAGTTCATTGTGAAGCATAATAAGGTAATGAACATTGAAGCTGCGTATTAGAAAAAAAACTTCTGCTAATGAATAGACTCCAGGAGAAACAATGAAGACAGCATTTCTTAGGTCATGTAAAATGAACTGTACAGATATGTAGAATACAAACCAGCTCCATATTGGTAGGGATACGAATGACATAAGAAGCCTTTTCTGCATCCAATTCATGTGATTCTCTGATAACAAATAGTATCTGATATATTGCCTCTATCTGTCAGTAATTAACTGATGGCTAAGTTACAGTCCATTTGTCAGGGAAAATGGAAAATACTGTTAACACTAGGCCCTCAAAACATGGCTTTGAGCTGCTAGAATTACTCTAGCATAAAGGGCCAAATACAAAGTTTATCTTCTGTTAAATCTCTCTGACATTTTAACTAGGGCTATAAAATAAATGGTCATCTAAATCAAACTGTATTAATTTCAAGTATTATTTTGAACCCATTTTATGGCACTACAACCATCCAACAGCATTTAAGGGAGAGGCGAGACAGCTGACAAAAGACCCTAGAATTAGTTCTATAATTATTTGCACAGGGAAAATGGCTTCTTCCCACAGTCAGATCACAGTGTAGTTCTTGATACATTTCACCAGCCTCGCGTAATAAACCCTGCAGAGGAATTAAAGAGCCAAGAAATACAGGTTAGACTCACAAGACAGATGCCGGCACTTAGTGCTCATTTCAGCACCCCCAGCATTTGCAGACTGCCTCCCCTGCTCTGACTCTGGCTCCCTGACAGCCCATGCCTACCTCCTGGGAGCTGGGGGCCCAGGTGCAGGACACTCCTCCACCCAGACAGGGGTTTATGCCATTTCTCAGGAGAGCTGAGAAATGCCTACCCAAGGCATTTTCCTGGGGTTGGCACAGTTCCTGTTTCTTGTATTAAGCAACAAGCCATCAGATGGGCTGATGAGGAAAGAGAGCAGAGGGGTGCCTAACTCTCCTTTAAAAAGGAGATTTTGCCTTGCTCTGATACTTGTAGTCTCCTGGAGGATAAGGTCCTTGTAGCATTGGTAGGTGGTGGCTCTCAGCCTGTTTTTCTCACTATATGGAGAAGCCTCAAGCATCCAGCTTGAGGCTGTGGTTTCCTTAAGAAGGCAGAGTACCTAAAAGCTGTGTGGCATGATCTAAATCTTCCTGGTGGATCTAGACCCATCTGACTAACAAGCCTTAGTGTAAGAGTCAAAATATTTATACATCTGTCCTTGTATACCTAATCATAAAGGATTGTATTTCCTAAGGTATGTAGACATCTGTTGAGTCATGTAACTGCTAAAGTGATTTTCAAATGTACCTTAGTAGGTTTGACAGCCAGTTCTTATTTCAAAGAGTTATTTAGACAGCCAGCAAGATTTTCAAAGCATTTATCTATTTCTCTGAGTATTGTACAGCTACTGAAAACCCAGCTCACAGTGTTTTGCAGGGAGAAGCATGATGCTATTAATAGAGATCTACAACATTAAAACACCTATTCACTGACCATTTTATAATGTATTCTATAAGTCTTGGCATCTGATTCAGTGTTTGCAAGGACTCATAAAGGACTGGGCTTCATCTCCAAAAACAGCAAATGCTTTCCTCCTCTTCTAGCCAATAGGTTTTCAGGTTGCTTCACCACTTTCACTCTTGGTAGCTGGCATTGCAACACTGCTTCCTGTCCTTGCATTGCCAGACCTTCCCATGTCTTAGGTGTGTTAGACATTTCCCAGGGACTAAGCACAAATCCAGCCTGAGAAAAAGTTGATCCAAAATCTTTCTTTTGACTCCTTAGTTTACGTAGTACCCACAGTTGAGAACACTGTTCTTTTTCTGACTCCCCAACCAGACCTACAATTAAAATTTGTTGTCATAGTACATGCAGAAATACAGGGTGTCATATCTCAGCTCTCTTCCCTTTGTGTTGTTACTTCACAGTGTTACAAGTGCTCATGGTGTAATCAGGATACAGGCAGGCAGAACTGAAGCAATTTGCTCTGTAGTTGCCTTTAGTTGAAGTTCTCACTGTCTTGTAATTAGCTGGAGTGAATGCATCTCCCCAGCAGCACACTGTGCACCACAACATGCTTTGGAACAAGGTGCAGGACTAGAAATAAAAGCATTTTATTCAGGGTGCCAAAGAGCCTACTGTAGGTGCAACACCAAAATTCGCTTATTATAATCCTTCTTGCCTAATTAATTCCATTGATACATTCAAGTTCATCAGAGTTTTGTTGACAGTCTTTAACAAAGGCTTTTTCTTTTCCTTTTTTTTCTTAGTTTAAACTGGAATAGTTTTATTAGCTTGTTTACTTCAGAACAAAGTGCCACCTTTGATTAAATTCCATGTGGATTTATAACTATGTCCTCCCCATGTTTCTGTGACCTTTACGGCACATCTGATAAAAATAAAAGGTCATGGATTCCAAAAGAACCGGTTCTAATAATAATGTCAGGCAGGCTCCCCTGAAAGTGTGCGATTTCCCTTCTTTCTTGTCTTCTTTTCTTCTTCCTCTCTCTCTCTTTCTTTTGCTGCTTTTTCAAAGTAAGATGAAAATTAACATGAATAAAATTAATGATTTAATTTTGCAGGAGAAAGAAGAGGGTTTATAGTGCTCCACTGGGGAAAAGGGCTTTTGTCTTTGTTGATGACCTAAACATGCCTGCCAAGGAGAAATATGGTGCCCAGCCTCCCATTGAACTGCTGCAGCAACGGATTGACCATGGCTACTGGTTTGACAGGTGCAATAAATATTAATTAGTGTGCTTGGCTACAGAGGAGTAATGATATACACTGTTTCTCTGAAGCGTTAAATTGTAGTGTTAGTCTTTTATAATTCCTCATCTTCTCAGTCACAACAGGAAAACACTCTGAGTTACACGACTCCCTGTATAGGAAAAGAAATAAAGGCTTATATGTTGCTGTGAATTACAGCACGAGAAAGCCAAGCCTTACGGGAGGAAGGCACAACATGCGTTTTCATGTTTTTGAGAAAACATCATCAGTATTTAGCCAGCACAAACCACTTTCAAATAAATTTTTGGTTCTTAGTTGTTAAGGACTGAAACAAAATAATTTATCTTTCAGCAAATGACTTTGAGGTTGAAACGCAGTTGAAGAAGCTTTTCTAATGCACAGTCGGTGTTTAGAGGAACAGTGTGTAATAGACTCAGACACTTTTCTGCATGATTCATATTAATACTGATTGCTAGAAAGACTTCAAATTCTCAGTTGTTTGTCTCATATATATGAACATAAAAGGTTTCTGTTGTTTAAGAGTGAGCCTACTTCATCTGCTGCTTTAAAAAAGAGTATCTAAATTTGAACAGAAAAAGTAAAATAACACCTAGCCATGGAGGCTCCTTTACAATGCTCAACTATTAGAAAAATGTAACCATACTTTATGACAGACTTAATTTATACACCTGAAGTAAAAAGCAGCTACACTTTTACCAAAATAATAGGCCATTAATTAAGAATTGATATTTCTTGTATAATTTATTATTGTTATAGTTCACAATTATGTTTAAACCACTCATTAGACACATTACTGTACTGAAAATATTGTTTTCTAGTAATGCATATTTAACATTGTATTGCAGCTTTACATGGCAGTCTCAGCCTGTGATCCCTCAGTGCTTTTCAGAGACAGGCATGAAAGTTGGCAGGTACTGTCTGCATTTCAATTGGAACACCTACCTTTCTCTTTACTCTGACCAAATAAAATAAAGGCTTCTGCCCGTTTTCAAGTCTGATGTTTTCTCAAAAGTATAGAATGTTTCTTAATATTTTCAAAGTGAATTTGCATTTGAAGCCTAAAGCATTAGGTAGAACCTTTTTACCACTTTATACTGAACCTGAGAAAGTGTGATTGAAATGTATGGGATTTTCCTGCTCCAAAATCCCTCATTTTCTAAAAGTACAGCAGAGGCTTTATTCTTTTAGGAACAATAAGGTTTTTCATTGTCAGAAATATTCATTCTACCTTACCCTCTGTATGAACCATGAGATGGGAAGAAGCAGATGGGGACAATGAGAAAACAAACTCATGCCATTTGAAATACAAAGGTTTTGCTCCTTTATATACTCAGAATTACTTGTGCTTGTGGGTGCAGCTTGTCACTTGTCAGCCTGTCTGGATGAGCAATATACACAGAAAGAACAATTTGAGCAAGATGGTCTTTGCTGGATAAACAACAAAGCATTAGTTACCTGGAAGGCAGGAAGACTGGCATGTTTTTCCCCCAATGACAGTCTATAACAAGCAAATATTTGCTGATAATGTCTGACAATATAGCCACAGGAAGAAGCAGATGAGGTAATTCTAGGTAGTGTCCTTTACTGTCAGAGGGATCCATGGCTTTCTAAGGTGATTAAACTGTTGGTGGCAAAGCCATTGAGGATGCTAAATAGGAAAGATTTGCTCACAAAAGACTCACTACCGCCTCAGAGGCTGCTTTCTGTCACACTATGTGCGAGGTAACTGCAGACAACAAGAAAGGTTCCTGATTTCATGCAGGTAAGAAGTCCCAAGGAAATCATGCCCTTGTGTTTGGATTATCTGTCAGCCCCTGCTCCCTAAGAACTTGTGAACCAGTTTTTGACACAGCAATTGCAGTCTCAGAGATGTCAAAGCATCTTAAACACACAAGGTACGACCCCATTGAGGGAAGGATGGGAGTGGTGCAAGTGTTGTGTGTGGTGGAGTATTGGGCTGGGAGGCCTATGGGGGCCATACTATGGAACCTGAAGCTGTAGAGCTGAATGAAGGGGTTAAAGGACCCTTGGTTTCCCAGTCCATGAAACAAATAATTTTTATTCTAGTAAATATTCAAGACAGCTTTGCAACTACTTGCCTGGACATTCTGCTTCATGACATATTTTCATTTCTCTACCAGTCTAAGCTTTTCTGTAAGTTTCAGTCCCCTCCAGACTGCTGGAGCCCAACATACCAAGCTCTGTGCTCAGACTACCTTGAGCATGCCCCCATACCTGCGTCAGAGGGAAAAGCAGATGGAGTAAACTCATTCACAGTAGAATTATCCCACGTGAAGACTCCTCAATTAATTACCTGTTGGATGTGAGTAGCTCCATCACCTTTGCACTACCCACGCTGAGTGAAGGAGCACAAGCCAGGAGATAATATCTGACCCCTGGAATAGCTCCATCTGGCAGAAGGCTACAGTTGAGACTCCTTTGAGGAAGCTCTCTTCATGGCATAAGTAACATGGCACCCTTTGAAGGGGAGAGTGGACTGCCTGAAGGGATTAACAAACATGATTCACTTTCTTACAACTAGAGGTGTCATGACTTTTAATCTTCTTTCTGGGAATTTGTTTAAAACCTGCTGCAAACACACACATATACTTACGTTTACTTGTCTAGGCTTATTTGTTTGCATCTGTGTGTATCACATTCAAGTCTATTAGGGGTTTGTCTTGAATACGCTAATGAAATGCTTAGACAAACACATAGATGCCCTGTGCAAACGAGGTGTAGGACGGAGAATCACAGTGCAGTAATGGGGGAAAGAAGATCTAAGCTTGGTTTTGGATGAGGAAGCCTTGCTGGCTGTGGCCACGTGTATCACCAGCAGAAGACAGGTGTAGTCCACAGGAGAAGCAGAATAAATGTGATTCTGAGCAGTATCATCATCATTTTGTATCCACAGCACATTCATCCATGTGTTCATTGGTACATCTGTTGTATACCTAGGTCTTTGTACTCCAGCAAGCCTTAAGTTATATAAGCTGTTGCACATCTACACCTAATAGACCACATGATACAAAATGGATCTGAGGTGGCAAAATAAGGATGTGCTCAACATGAAACATAAAACTTACCTGTACTAGGAGCGGAGAAATGGACGGGACATGTGGCAATGAAAAGGAACAAATCCTGCCTTAAGATACATACTGTGAGGTGGGTAGTTTTTCCCATGATAACAGAACCCTGTTATTTCCTGATGCAAGGAAAGAAATACTGCATGTGCGAATCTCTCTATCTCTTGCTTTCTCATTTGTCTTCCTCCCCATACATGGGCCTTGATTGCCTTATTTACCAGTACTGCCCCTCACAAATGACTGTATTAAAAAGGTTAAATTTAAATGCAGTACAGCTCAGTCTGGTTTCTTTCAAAAGCAGGTCCTACCACCAGTGGTTGGCCAGACAGTCTTGTATCCTCAATTTACATCACTTTAAAACTATGGCTTTTCACTGATACAGTTCTAGTGGTTGATGACAAACTTAGTGGATGTGTTTCTTAGATGGATCAGTCTTGATTTTGGAAATGTTTTTCATTAAGCATGATTCGAACTTGGTGTGAAGGAATGTGTAATTGAGAATTTTATAAAGAAACATGAGATGTGTTCCCTGGGTCCTTTGTAGATCATATGGGTGGTTGAATTACTGGGATGTTTGACTCAACCAATCTGAGGCAGTCACATTCACCTCCCAAGTAGAGTAAGAATCTTCCAGGGCAGGCAAAAGAATGAACTTCAGCTCTTCTTGGGGACGAGCAAACGAAAGTGTGTCAGCCAGACGAAGATGACAGAAGGCTTTCGTCACCACACTTCTTCCATCCAGGTATCCCAAAAGACCCAGAAGATATTACAAAGCTGAAAAGGTCAGAATTCTGGCATATTTTGTGTGCTATTTTCTCTCCCTGTGAGTATCACACATGTATCCTGGATTAATCAAGAACCAGCTGTTCATCTGTCCACTCCTTGGTTCTAATCATTTTGAGGAGAAAGAAACATGCACATAATGTATATATTTATCTTTCTCTCTTCTCTGTATATATATATGTATATATGTGTATATGTGTATATATGTATATATCTAGAAATATAGTTAATATAACATCATACAATAGCAAGTAGGTCTGTGGATGTTTTTTATGTAGATATGAACACAGTAGGGAAGCAGTCCATCGTGTGGGACTTTCCATCATAACAGCTCTTGATCAAATCAGGATATTTTCTCTCATTTATCTCAATAGGAGAAGTCTTTGCCCCCTCCATGCCCACCTCTCAAGAATCATGTGACTTTGTTTGAAAGCTGCAGCAGAGTCTAACCCCAAGGTCACTGCAATCTGTTAATTTTGGTAAGGGATGAAAAAATCCTAACTCACCAGCCATGCTGGGTGAGAACAAGAGGTCTAGAGCATTACAGTTTGCATTACAGACCTGTGTGACTGTGCTCAGAAGAGATTGAAGCTCTGCTTTGGTGTCAGGGCTGAGCCTAAGGGCTGGGCTGCCCCTACTGATGGTCGTGAGAAGTAGCTTGAAGCTACCAGAAGGGCATTCACAGCAACATGGGCTTTACAAGCTGCAAATACTGCCTGAAAATCTGTGCAAATGCTTAGTTGTCTGTCCCATTCTGTTGTCTGTGCTGCTTCTGCTGCCCCAATTAAACAGTGTTACCCAAATTAACTTACTTAAATCGGTTCAAACATACCTCTGGAGACAGTAGTCACAGTAGTGTCTGTGGAAGAAAACAATCACAAGGGTGTACACATCTAGGGTTTGAAGTTTTAGTTCTGCTAATGAACAAAAAAATACCATGAAATGTGGAAAACTTGGATGGAGATTGACTGACTTCTCTGCAACTTTTCATCTCCTACATCCTGTCCCTACACTCATTGCTTCTCTGTTCCTAACCTGCCAGTCTTCCCCCTTGTTTTCTTTTATACCTCTCTTTTTTAAAATGAACCCCAAGTCACACTTTTTCACTCTTAGATAGAATATTTCGTACTCTTCTCTCTCATGTGGTTCTGAGACATCATAGATGTGAAACCAACAACATTTTGTCCCTGACAATTGTCCCTACCCTCTCCAGGCCAAACTCAAAGTGTTCGATCCTCAGTGTGGACAGAGAAAATAAGTTGAGCTACCTAAAAAAGGAGTGTTGCAAATGGTTTGTGTTCTCTGTAGGGCACAGAAGAAGAAGAAAAGGAATTTTCCCCTTTCTGCTCATGTAATAGATAGTATGAATCTTTCTACAGCAATAAAATATTTCAACAGCCTCTGAAGATGCCTTACAGAGTGCATAATTTATTATTTCTTCATACAGTCATACTTATCATGAGATTATGAAGTTAAATTTATTTATATCGTATTTTGAAAACTGCCAGAGCCAACTGTGTAGGCTATTTATACTTGGTCTATTAATGAGAGAACTCACTTGGAAGGAACAAAAATAAGAAAAGAAAAATATCTTTCAGTCCTTTCTTGGATTCTAGATTTTGAAGAGTATTTACACATAGAAAAGTTTCAGGGTTTCAACCTTTTTAATTCCCATCATCTCACATGTTATTTTAGAAGTGTGGGATGGAAGAGAGCGCACTATTCTTCTGTTGATCACAATTTCCCCCTGCGAAAGCTGGTTCAAACTGTGCAAAGGACAGGAACAGGGAAACAAGATTCAGAAGAAACTCCTTTCTTTCTCTTGATTTGCACCTTGACGTCACCCTTGCAAAATCTCTGTGTACACAGAACTATAATGAAAACAAATGCATCTCTGTGGATTCCTTAATTGCTGACTTACAGGAGGTTTGAATGTACTTGTCCATTCCTGCCTACCATGATAGAGTTTATATAGTCTCTCTGAGATTTAGATGTATGTTTTTCTTCTGCCCCTTTTCTCAGTGGCCTTATCACACACAAATCCTTCCCTTCATGATGCAAGATGACACCTTTTGTGCAGTCCTGGTCAATTCTCCAGATAGTTACCAGGCAGTTACTGACTGTTTCTTTACCTCAATGGCAGCACCCAAAGGGGCTCTTGGTCTTTCACATAATCAGTGCAAAACTGGGCAAGGATCCTAGCTGTATTTCTTTCTCTTTTTCTCTTGCTCTCAATTTCTTTCAGTTTCTGTAACATATTATACCCACCAGTCTTCAAATGATATTAAGGCCCATGATATTTTACCATCCCTCCATGGTTTAAAAACACAGATTCCTGGAGGTCATTGATGAATGAACAGAGTTTAAAAGTTATATATAGAATCCAAAAGGCTTGCCACTGAAATGATGGTTTTATAAGTGTTAGTCTAGTATTTTGTGAGTATTTCTATTTCTACTCCTTACATCAGTGCTCTTGGAAAACAGCGTATGCATTTAACAAAAAATTGAGATACACAAGCAAGACCATATCTTCAGCCTTATCACAATTATTTTAGTTCTATTACTCACTGAACAAGACTGTCAGTGGCAGACATTTTAACAGCAAAAAAAAGTAGTTGCCAAGAAATTAAGGGGTTTTTTTCTAGAAATAGGAACCATTCTGTGATTTGAAAGAAATTAAAACAAATACTGATAAACAACAAAAAACAGTACAATGAATAGCTGAGACATTTTTAATAATTTTTTTCTGTTGAAAAGTGCTGAAACATAATTAATATTATTTGGGGTTTTAATTATTATTATTTTATTCTATTTAATTTTTTTTTTAAAAGTGCTCTATATTTACTTACTCTGTTATTGCTCTAGTAATACCTGCTGTTTTGTTTCTTAGTCAGAAGTCTGTATGGCCAGTCTTCGCAAACGAAGATTTTGGGAAAGGTCTTTTACGTTTCAAGCCTGCGCAATGGATTTTTTAGGTGAGACAC